TATATATATATGTGTGTGTGTGTGTGTGTGTGCATACAATGTATATATCAATATATAATGTGTGTGTGTTTAACTATAACTATATTAAAATATATTCACCTCTGCGTACAGTCATGGCACTCGATCAACAGCACAATTCTGGATCAAAACAAACACTAACATTAGTAAACAGCAAAGAAAACAACAGAAATGTGTATTTAACTGAGGACTAAGTGGAATATAAAACAAGCAGGTTAAAATTTAAATCACACAAGGAAAAAAAAATACTGCATATACAAACAAAATGCATTTTGGCAAAGAAGCAACTTGAAAACTGTTAAAAGGCAAAACCGTGAAAACTGCCGGTGTACAAACCTGCTTAGATATAATGTCTGGACTCTCTTCGGCTCTTCATCCAAAACGCCAACTCAACATCAACAAGTCCAGTTACCCTTGAGTCCTGCACAGAACACGCCACAGCCGAAAAGACCTTTCACTGAAACATATGCTACAGTGATAGAGCACAACCGCAGCGAATGAATCTTTTTAAGTGAACGACATTTCCTAAACTTTCACGTACTGACTCGTCTGCTTTTGTCCTTCCAAAGACTGACAGCAACAAGAGCCAATAGAATTCGAGTGTGGTCTGTGAAGGAGCATTTCATTGGCTTGACCCACTAAACGAACCGCCCCCTTAACAGAACGAGTCGATGGTTTGGAGTCTTGAATGTGACTCGGAGAGGTTTCTTTCTCAATGTTATTATTTTATCAAACTTTTTTTTTTTTTTTTTTACTGTGTGCAGATGTGTATGTCTGCAACCAATGTTTGGCAATGTGCAGACTTTTTACCATGCAAATAAAGCAGTCAAGAAAACGGAATGAAAAAATGACAACAAGACTCGTTTCGGCCATGATTCGGTGTACTTAAGAAAAGAATGAGTGAATGATTACTTGACTCGTAACTCAAAAATTTCGCTTGTCCTAATAGCGTAACGATTTAACCTGCAAAATGGGTAACTAAACGAACCAAAGAAAAAAGAGTGAAATGATACAAAAGACTCGAATAACTGACATGAATCCAAATCCTTCCGGCTCATGTCTGAAGGAGTGGTTCCCTATGAGTTACAGATCTGATCATTTCAGCGGCCGATGACATACTCGAACATGCCCATGACCATACATGGTCTGAAGTGTGCGTCTAGATTACTGCCTGGTTAAAAACATACATTTATTTAAATTTATAATCGCACGGAGACTGCGTTGCGCGCTTATTATCTTATTATTTAAGCCACAATTGCACTGAGAGATGTAATATTCAGTCACAAGACGTATTTTCCCACTGATCTGCGCAGATCGGACGCATGTTAGCCCCGCTGATGCTTTTGGAAGGGGTCCTGCGGATCTCTACGTACACACTTTCAAACAGGAAACCATCGCTCTCATCTCAATAATATCATCTTGCGGCTTTATTTTGATATTTCAAAATGCTTTCAGCGTTTAAATCCATTCCGACGTATATGGTAAGCCCGTTTTTTGGATACATGTTTTAATATTGTGAGGTTGGTGGTGTTTAGAGCTTCAACATACTGACATATGTTAGCAGCTTACGTATTAGGGACGGACCTGTTAATATTAATATTAATTATATAAAATAAATCTTTTGAGGTTGGTGGTGTTTAGAGCTTCAACATACTGACATATGTTAGCAGCTTACGTATTAGCGACGGACCTGTTAATATTAATATTAATTATATAAAATAAATCTTTTAGTAATATTTTGCTGCAGTAATCAACACAGTAACACCAAATAGTTAGTGCTGGTATCGGAACCAAAGTGAATTAAGTGTGCACTCAGCAGCTTTGGGAGTCAAGTCATAGATCAGCTTATATACTTTGCTACACGACCTAAAGCAACAAGAATATACATATATTTACAATGTCTATTTGCAGGACTATAAAGGACAGAAACTTGCCGAGCAAATTTTCCAAGGAATCATTCTGGTGTCAGCAGTAAGTAACACTGGCAGCACTTGTACTCTCACAACATTATGTCATTTCTGCTCTGCCTCATGTCTGTTTTCCCTGCAGGTGATCGGCTTCATCTATGGCTTATTTATTCAGCAGTTTGGATGGACGGTTTACATAATGCTGGCTGGATTCACAGTATCATGTTTTGTATGTCATACGACTTCTGTTTGCTTAAAGGGGTCATATGATGCGATTTCAATTTTTCCTTTCTCTTTGGAGTGTTACAAGCTCTTGGTGCATAAAGAAGATCTGTAAAGTTGCAAAGACTAAAGTCTCAAATCCAAAGAGATATTCTTTATAAAAGTTAAGAGTCAACCACGCCTACCTAAAACGGCTCGTTCTAACACACCCCACATGTCTACGTCACGATGTGAGAAGATTTGCATAACGCCGCCCAAACGTTCACGCAAAGAAAGAAGGCGTAACTTAAAAATATTTGGCTGCACAACTGTTGATAATTCTAATAATAAATCAGCATATTAGAATGATTTCTGAAGATCACTGGCCAATCACAGCACACCTCGCTTTTTTAGACCGATGAGCTTTGTAAAAATCGACGCGTTTCAGAAAGGCGGGGCATAGAAAAACAATAATGTACAGTATGTGGAAAATAATGTGTTTTTTGAACCTTAAACCGCATTTCATTTCATTACACCAAATACACAAAATAATGTTCTTTTTAGCAGCATCATATGACCCCTTTAATGTAAAGTTAATAGTGAAAATAAGAATAACAATAAACTCTTGTGTAATTCTGGCTCTCCTGGTCTTCAGCTCACCCTGCCTCCCTGGCCAATGTACAGAAAAAATCCTTTGAAGTGGCAGCCGGCTGTGCCTGAGGCATCTGGAGAAAATCGTGACAAACCTCAAGAGAATCAGAAGAAGAAGAAGCACAAGTGATTCACGGCAATATTGTAGTTTCGATTTGGCACAGTAAAGCCATTTAGATAAACAGCAGAAACAAACTTATGAAATCCTATTAAGTTTTTGTCCGTTTTTGAGCATTCATTATGTAATAAAGAACTGTGTTTGGTACATGTGGCACTTTTTTTTTTTGAGTTTGACTTTGGTTTGTTAGAGCACAAGAAGGCACAGGGTTCCTAAAAATGTCATTTATTATAAATCATTCCTTATTGATTTACATTATTCGTAATATAAATATACATTCCAGAAAATAGAAAAAAGTTAAATATTTTTAACATCTCTTTTGTTATTCAAGATGGGTATCTACATAGCATAGGTTCACATTTCCAATAGAAAGATGATATACTAAAATAATGCTTTTCTGTATTTTAAAGGTGCATGATAACAGCATTTTTTGCATATCTGGTGTTTAACTCACTTCTATCTCTACACATTTACAAAAGCATTAAAAAGTAACAGTGATTGTTGATAGGAGGCTTCAATGAAGTGTTTTATCTTTTAAGAGCACGAAGTCTGCTGCCTGTCAGCAGTAATGGCATATCAGTGTTTGACAAGAGATCCCTCATGTGCAGGTGGCTCAGTCTTTGAATGCGACGTCCTCAAAGAATTTCAGCTGTTGGACTTTCATTGCGTACTGCTTGTATTTTTCCTCCCCCATTTGCTCTTGCAGTAGGGGCTGGATAGAGAAGCAGAATAAAAATCTCAGCCTAACTGCTATTTATGTAGTATTCAAATTTTTTATTTTTTTTGTACATTAAAAAAACAATGTTTTCAATATAAATACATCTCATTTAAATGTAACTATAGTACTCTGTAATGAATGGGAATATTTGTATTTATGTGCACAGGAGAACTTCTCACGACAAAAATGCTGATTAATTCACGACATCTGCATATGCACATGAATTTATTCTCCTGTTAATGAACTTGCAGTATTCAAAATGAGTGACCCATCCATCCATCCATCCTCCAAACTTCTTGTACATATGCAAATTGTTTTTATGCAGAGAAATTTCACAACTTAAGCTATATAACATCAACATAAATATGATTAAACATATTTAAGATGAAATATCTATGTAAAAATGTAATCTAAACACATTTATAAGGCCACCGAGAGTATGATTTTGAATCATTGACTTATTGATTAATCATGATTTTTTTATGTGAAAATGTGCATCATGGTTAGTGAACAAGACTCATTGTCGGTACTGAAAAATTCTGATCAATGGGCCATTAGAATAGACTCTTGTTTATTTCTTTCTAATGTATTTCTAATGTACAATGAGACTTTAGCCAACTTGCCTCTCTCTTGTCTTCATCCTCTTCCTGCATGATGTCCAGGACTCTGTCCAATAGCTTCACCCCGAGTCCTTTAACCACATCTGTACGCAAGTGCTCCATCACTCTCCTGACCTTTGCTGGACCCGTGCTGTCGTCTAAAAACACAAAATGAAACACATGATGATGGATTCTGTCACCAGACTAAAAATGCAGAATTACTTAAAATAATTACAAAATAAAACCCAGAAACATTTATCAGGTAAGTTATTACCTGGGAAGCCACTGATCTGGAAATCTCCCTGTCCCTCTCTGGATTTCCCATGAAGCATCAGGGTGTCCCTGTACTTCCTGTTTAGTTTGAACTCAGGCAGTGGAGTGGAGTGGCATCTTGTCCCATCAGGCTCAAATGATACATCTCTGGCATCCATGTGTAATGTCTGTGTCATCATTTGGACCAAGTCTTGCATCTCACTGGTCTCACGCTTTCTGTGAGAAAAAAAAAAGTATTTCAGTGTTTTTTAGCTTTCTGTCACTTTTACTGACAGGGAAAGTAGAGAGATGGCAGGAAATGATGCGAAGAACAAATTCAGATTTCTAGAAAAAGGAATATTGGCAATACACTTAATACGACACATACATGACACCAATTATGGCCCAACTGAGTCATTAAACAGAATTTTTACATACATAAATGCGGCTCATTAGAGTACAAATTAGTGGGAGGTCTTACCGTTCTGTGTAGTCACCCTCTGAACGTTCAGTGGAGCTGGTTGAGGAACTACACTCATCTTCATCAGACTGTCTCTCCTGATACACAAAGAGAACCAAAACAGTCCAGGTAAGAGCCCTTTTGACCGAATAGCCAAGAACTGACATTCTAAGGTTATCATGTATAGAAGGTCCTGTTTATCTGTCAAAATATCCCGTTTTATGTACCGAAGAAGAAAAAAAGTCATGAGTAAATGACGTAATTTTCTTATAAAAATGGTCATACTCTTAAGTGTATAGTGTTTGACAGTCCGTCCTGAGTCAGCGAGAAGGATCAGACGTACCTTTTTCGTTTCCACAGATATGCTTTCAGGTCTTGGGCAGTCTAGCTGGTCTGTCTGCTTACCCTCTAATGAGGGGACAGCGGACACAGCTTCAAAGAAAAGAAACGAAGGAATCACATTCAGTGAAACTGTACAAAATCTCCTTTAATCTGAATTCATGTATGCAGCACCTGTGGACTTTGATCATAGTGGGCGGCTCTACAGTCTCTTATGCATTCTAATGGACACATGCAGAAACGTCTCGCTTTGATCCACCAAAACTGTTCTTAAGGGTGTTATCGCTCTTGAGGCCACTTCAACAGAATTAAAGTCAGACCCCCTTCGATTCAACTAA